ACGCGTTCAAGAGCGTCTTTACCGTTACTGTTTACAACATAATAAACTGTACAAAAGGTTTCTATTGCGACTCGAGCCACATGTCAGAAAAACCTCTTGCGCTCCCGATATTTTTAGTACGCTTTATATAACGCTGTAAAAATTTAATATGTGTTCGCACGACGGGATTTATTACCTAATGGCAGAATTGGACCACCATCGATGAAAACAAGCACCTACAATGTATTATAAAAGATGTAATAATTCTTTCATAATCATATATTTTGTTTCACTCAACACATAACACCAAATACTGTTAAACCACGATATAACCGATAGCGTTAGAACCGACTTCGGATATAACGGACAAAATATTTTTAAGTCATAGTATTACAAAATACAGTAAAGTGCCGAGAATTGTATAATGAAAGAAATAAACTGGTGCAAAACAATCTTCTTTACTATAAAACTAAATAATAATAATAAACTAGTTATTTTTGATACAAGATAGCGAAGTGATACTTTTGCATTCGAGAATGAAAGTTATTTATTAAATATTATCTTGCGTTTCCTTGCAGCTGACTTTGGATTGTAGTTCTAAGGTGTCATCTTCTACGTCATCGTCACTACATTCTTGGAGTGAACTCGGTTCAGAGATTGGTTTGGTGACACTATCGACTAGATACTAGATCATCGTCGGTCATGTGTTCACAGTCCAAAGCATTCGAGGCAATATTTAGCCACTCCAGAATATTTTCGTCATCCAGTTCTTCACAGCCCTGAACATTTTTTAACGACTGAAACGCATCTAAAGGTTCATCACTATCAATTACGTATTCTTTAGCTGATTCATCTCATAAAATATTGTTAAAATATTTTTCAATTGTGGTAGCTTTCACATTTTCCCGGCCATACGATATGTTGTATACAGCATCTCGAAGCATAATTGATTTCCAAAACTGTAAAGGAGCATTGTTGTCTTTTGCGACTCGACTAGATCCATCATTAATTTTTTTCTGTACAACCTCTTCATGCTCTGATCCATGGGTTGAATTAGGACGATCACATCTGGCGGAAGATACAAAACTGTGATATTCTCGTTCTCAGCTGACAACGCTTCAACTGGTGGATGAGATGGCGCATTATCAAGAAGGAGTAGTGCTTTTTGAGGGAGACCTTTGCCGTCTATATATTTTTTTGACGTGTAGACCAAATTTATTTCTAAACCACATTTCAAAAATGTCTACACATCGATACATAATATAAATTTTTTTCGAAAAGAAAGTAGGCGTGGCGAAGTACATAAAGAATTTGTTGTTAAAACACATAAATTAATTTTTATAAAATATATAAATCACAACCACGGTTAATCCGAACCCTGGTTAAACGGTCCGCGGATAATCGGCACTTTACTGTATCTGAAGATGCACGGCTAACCCCAAAACTTTCTAGTTCTAGGTCTAGTGTAGGTCTAGAACTAGCACTAGAACTAACACTAAACCTAGAATTAAAAACATTCGGGTTTAGCCATCTTAAGAGACATACAAGACACCTTTTCAGCATAAAAAAATGGGCTCAGCTTAGGTTAGGATGGTTTGGGAAGTGAGGTTGTGGCTTGGGTTGCTGTAACTAAGGATGGTTTGACTTGGCTTGAGTAGGTTTTGATTTCTCTTACTTTAGTTTTGCTTGGCTTGGCTTGGCTTGAGTTAATTTGTCAATTAGATGTAAACCGACCAGCGTACCAAATTTTGCGAGATCTTGAATCTCAAACACCAAGACCACATTACTTGCAGAACACTAAATAATGCTGGTAAAAAGGACTATAGTGTCGACAAGAGGCTAGATACTGATAATGGACGACTAGATACTATTGGCGAAAGGTTACAAAAACATACTGCTAATTGAAAAAGGACACAGTTCGATCCACGTTGATTGTTTATTTGTTTAATGCCTTTACCGTCCTTGCATTAGTTTGTTACAATAATCTTATTACCAACTGTATTTTTAAGTTGTAACTTTATTACCACTTTTTTCAACTAACTTCATTTCGATGTAAACTATCGCCATGTGTACATGGCTCAACTTTTTCGGTAATCTTTTCATTAATTTTCTTCGCAAATACTTAATTAACTCTTATATTTACTTTAGATTTATAACGCTCAAAATTCTTTGTATCACACCGCCTCCAGTTTATACAGTTTTTACACCTGCCTTCAGCATTTTACCAATAAATAATTTTTCCAATGCTCAACGTTAGGGTTTAACCAAGGAATTTTTCACAAGACTGTTTTTCACGTTAACACCTTTTCTTAGTTTTAACGGTAAAATCATTAATTTTATTCTTATTTTTAATTTAATTTTCATCTTTTATACTCCAATCTCCTAGAGATACTTAGATGTCAATCTGTTTAATACTAAGTTATTATTCTAGTCGTACCTGAAGACGCTCATGCTATAAGCGAAACATTGTAGTACTGAATTAAACTAATAAACAATCATAGTGGATCAACCTGTGTCCTTTCTCAATTAACTTTCACCATGATGAACGTGGAGACCTTAATTGCCAAATTATATACTGCTGGCAGAAAACTAAACCATTAACAAGCTAATGGACCACTGCATACAATTGGCAAATGACTTGATATGTTGGCAAAAGGTTAAATACTATTTTCTGAAGCCCTGAACCATAGCTGTCTCTACTTCAAAAACTAAACGTAAGATGGTAATAAGAGAGTCAACAAGATGTAAGCAGAGTAGCGTATTACCGTGCTAAAAACGGATGGACGAAACAATCTCGGCCGGCTTCGAAGACGTCGGCCGCCCCAACTATTACAAACACCAAGACCACACTGCATGCAAAACTAGTAGAAAACATTTTTCAGCGTAAATCTACACAATTTCTTGTAATTTAAAGATTGACTAGACCAGAAGTAGTACAAACACCAAGACTTTGTGAAACCACTTGAGACGAAATAAATGGAAGATTATAAGTATCACCAACATCAATACCACACTTCTTCCAAAAGTCTAAGACTGTTGGTAGAAGATTTTGGCCAGTGTAATTTCACACATTTTCTTACAGCATAAAGTTTGGTGAAATCGAGTAGTGGTGGAACGGATATCCAACAATCTTTTCGAATTTTGCAAATTTCACTGATTAAGTTTTAAAAATTCTCATAAGATCCATTTCTTGGAATATGAGTTTAAAAATTTCCCAAAGTGTTATTAAAAGTGTCGTCTTTCCAATGAACCAACACGATTTGAAAAATAACTTTTAGTTTTTGAGAAAAGAATGTTTGAAGTTTTGATCAAATTTTCGATGTCGCAATTTTCATCGATAATTTTTAAAATTCGCTATAAAATTAATTTCTTGAAGGATCCTTGTGGAAATATCACCAATTATTAATTAAAGTATTCTCTTTTTAATGCAACAAGCCGTTTTGAAAAATCGCTTTTAGTTTTTGAGAAATAAATTTTTGAAATGATCAAAAATTTTTTCGAATATTGCAATTTTCGCCGATTAAGTTTTAAAAATTCGTATAAAATCCATTTCTTGGAATATGAGTATGTAAATCTCCCAAAATGTTAATAAAAGTGTCCTCATTCCAATGAACCAGCACATTTTTAAAAATAACTTTTAGTTTTTGAGAAAACAATGTTTGAAGTTTTGATCAAATTTTCGATGTCGCCATTTTCATCGACAATAATTTTTAGAGTTGCTTCGTGAGTTAAATCAGCATCAAAAAAGTTCATTTTGTATCTTGAATCCAAATAAATTGACATATCTTATCAGCTTTCTTATTAATTTCATTGTCATTCAAATATCGCAATAATGTGGCAATATCACATCAGAAATGTACCAGAAATTATGACCTTAATGGCCGTATAGATATGCCGGATAGCCGGATATTCGGCCGAAGGGGATGTCGAATATCTTTTCGCAAAATCACTATCCGTTTCATCACTAAAATCGAGTATCACGACTACCAGAACTTTGTAAAACCAAGTGAGATCAAGCTCACTTTGCTTGAAACGGACTTTGGTGTTTAAATCCTAGTCTTTATTTTAGCTTTAATTGTTATTCAGCGTTAAATTATTCTATATTTTTCATTAACTAATACAATTTTTCAAATAACGGACTTTTGGCAATAACGGACGGATAATTTTTAATAAAAAAAATGATTTATTAATTACCATAAATAATTAGGTAGTGCTTCTAAACGTTCATCAATAAGGTAGGGGGAATCAGTAAAACAAACAGGACTGAGCTCCTGGGGTGGGCCAATTATCTGTTCACGGGGAGTGACAGCACCCGATATACTATGACCGGAATGCGGCGCCCCCCTGGGTGACTCGAGGGCCAGCGACCTGCCCACGTTATGACGCACGGGCGGAGGCCCCAAGATGACGCGAGATACCACGTCTTGGCATTCTTAATACGTGTTGTACATTAGTTATGCCGAATTGAATGCGCCCGGTCCTGCGAAATATTCGCGTGGCAACACCGTGGTCCCCGTTAGGACGTGCACCGTGGCATCCCAAATATCCTGCGCGAAGCAACAACAACGGCAACAGGAATTCTTCGGTTCGAAGACGATTTTTTTCAAGACTGTAACAGTATACTGGGAGCGGTGGAAATCTGATATTTTACGCAGTGACTGGTTTTTAGCGGAATCCTGCTTCTGATGTTTACTCCTGAACCGAATTACACAACATATTCGAAAAATTTATTTTACATAAAGAATTTTTTCAAAAAAATGTTGCATTAAATTTTTATGTCATCGCTTTAATTGACGTACATTGTTTATGAATACTCGGTTTTTATTTACACGTACCCAGAGTGTGCACCGAGGTCAAGGTGTTGACCCCTCGTGTATTAATCTCTCCTTCTCTCGAGACTCCGTCGACGCGAAGAAGACGAAGACAAGGAGGAAAGAGAAAAGAGACCGATGAATAAGCATCTCTCGTGCGCGTTCTCGGCGGATCTCGCGTATCGAAATTAATGGGACGTCTTGTTACAGATTACCAAACTGAAGATTGACAGCAACCCATTTGCCAAGGGCTTCAGGGATTCCTCCAGACTGACGGAGTTCGAGCGGTGAGTTCTTGAGATGTTTTTGGGTGCCCCTTGTTAATGACTACTGGGATATTTTTAAAACGTCCCTACTTAATTTGGTCCATTATGAAAGACTACATTGTAATTTTTTTTCAGAGAAACCATGGAGTCAATGTTGGCAGAACAACATTATCTTCGTTCACCGTTACGACCATTTGTTGAGTTAGACACTCATAATAACAATTTATCTTTGGAAGATAAAGCGATATTGGCAGCTCGGTCTCAACTTTTTTTAAGAGCTGCTGCTGCTGCAGCGGCAGGACCTTATGGTACACTTATGGGAGGACTTTACGGTGCGGGAGGTTCCCAAACAACTGCGGTTCCCCCGGGTGTCTTATGGAATCAATGGGCTTGCCTGGGACCTTCTCTTCTAGCAGCTCAACACCAACATCAACTTGCTGTGGCAGCAGCTGGTTCATCACAATTAACATCGCCTATTTCACCTTTATCAAGGCCTTTAGCTCAACATCGATTCTCCCCTTATGTTCCACCCCCAAGATCTTCACCCGATACGAGTTTAAGGGATGATCATGAACCTAGCAGCCCTTCTTAGGACCTCGCGATTGTGATATAACTGGTTCGGCGCTGAAAAGTTTTAACAAGTACAAGCTAACGAATTATTACAGCTGTCAATAATTACAAAATGTTGTAAAAAATAATAATATGATTGTAAATATACATGCGACCCCTTTTTAACTATTATTGTAATTATTTTTAATTTATTACGGCGCGAGAACTAATGCGTTAAGTTAATCGTTTATCCGATGGCATTTTTTTGCGATGATTAGTAAGATAACTAAAACTGTAGAATGTTAATTAATTAATTAATTTAATCGTTTGGTCTCGTTCCAACTGTATTTTCTTCTTTTCCGATCCATTTTAATTATTTCTTTAAATCAATTTTATTTCGATTAGATTTTGAAATGGAAAACGAAAGCGTAAAGTCACCCGAAAATCGGATATGAATACGCATGGGCTTGTATGTTTAATTTCGATGTGTGTATAAATTATTATGTAAATGAACGATGAAAATTAATAAAATATGTCTCATTTTACGATGATGTTTATGTGCCCTGTTTAGTGGTTGTTAATAAGTATTAATTACCTCTTCATTTACACAAGCAGGTGTCTTCTTTGATACTTTTCAAGGTTTAAAGATATTTTTTAAATTATTTTAATGTAGCACTTAATTACTTTTTAAATATCCGCTTTTCTTTAATGATAAACATCAATCAAGTTAAGTTATAGGCGGTCAGGTGAGTATGAAAAAATGTTTCAATATTGAAATTAAAGTGCTGAAAAATATGTGGGGATTTTGTATCAAGATTTTAATTTGGCAATATTATTTATTAGCAACAAAGGGGTTACAAAAGTCTTTTTTTAAATCTGCATATTCAATGTTGATATTAAAATTTTAGTCCATAAATTATCCCTAAAATTCAGGGCAAACCCATTAACCGCAAACGACGAGTGTGAATTGACAAAGCAGCAAATTTTCTCGTATATTAAAATCGATGGAAACTTTTGGGACTTTTTCATTAACCTCAGACGCAATTAGCTTGGGTAAAGTAATTTAAATCATATCTAAAGTCACTTCGTTCACTCGTTAAGGATCGCTAATTTATATTTATGTCGACCCCAAGTCGGCTTAACGGGCTTGATTTCGACAGCAGATTGGTTAATTAGTTTCACCGACAGAAGAGTGACTCACGGAAGCGGGTCCTTATTTGGGTTTTACGGTTCATAAAAATACATACATTTTTTCGACATAATTACTACAAAGTACGAAGAGTTTTTATCGATTAATAAAAAAAAACTGAAGTTGTTTTATTTATTTTTCTACAAAAGAAATCTTTCGCTAAATAACACATCATTAATGTGTCGGACGTCATCTTTCATCTCCTCATCTCTCGTCGAAAACGGGTAGCTCAAAATCATTTAGATATATCCAAATCGTTTTCTCTGCAATCATCAAACCGTGGCATTTGTCGTCATCTGGGAGACCTCAAGAAACTGTTGGAGCCATTAGAAGGAGACAAACCGTGTCCGTACACGTCATCAATCGCACCAGAAGAAGCTATATAATCGCTCGGCAACGTCGTCGTCGTAACCGGCGTTGCCAAACCGTAAAAAGTAATTTTTTTTCTTCATGGTTTTTTTGATTAATGGCGGCGTGTCCTCTTCGGTTGGGCTGCGAACGGTAGACTGTAGAGGTCGGTCTCTCGCAGCCCAAGCCTAATGCCCCGGATGATTGATGAAGACCACCGGATAAAGAAATGTCTTCGGGACATGTATTGACTAAAGATAATTATCATTTCGTGTTGCGCCTCGAAGGATTCTCTTCAACTCTTGTAGTTTCACGTTCTTTTCTTATCTTATACGTGATTGTTCTTCTTTTTGAACAACCAAATGACATACTTTATCAAAATTAATAAATTCTTTAAAAACCAAAACTTTCTTAATCTTTCTTTTAATTCCTTCTTTTTTTAATTCGTTTTTCTTTTGATTAGTTGAAGCGTCACGGTGTGGACGAGTCTTGACATACTATCAGAGACGGTCATCTTCGTGTGCGTATTGTGTTTACACGGCCGTATCTGATGCGGGCCCCTAATGGTCGCCAGACATTGACACGAGTAGCGTTCCCGAGTGGAATTCTTGCATTTTAAATGACGATTACCGCGTTGAGATAAGCGGCCCTCGTCCCACCGCCGAACGAGACCCGACAAGGGAATTAATTAATGGCAGATATGTTTACCCCTTGATACCTCTTGTCGCTTCAGAGATTTACGCCGGTGATTTTCGTAAATTGCTTAATTTCAGTAAGTGTTACTGGGATTTTAAACTCTCTGAATTGATCGTATCTCATTTAAATTCCTTATTTTTAAGTCAAGAGTGTAATTTTGTATAATCCCATACAACCTTATTATGAGATAAATCATAAAAAAATTAGAAATTTCTTTGAAAAATTAAGAAATGATCAAGTCTAAACAAGATCACTTATGTTATCAATACCTTTTTTGCAATTATAGCATCGCTTCACAGATACTGGTTTGATGAAACTTTGATGCAAGCTAGCAGCTGAAAAGTTCCGTTATGATACATTAATATTTGACCTATGCGAAGTTAGCCCCCAATTAGATAGGATTTTACATGTATAGTATTTTGATTATAACAAAAGAACCAGTGAACCGATTTCGATGAAGAATGTCTCATTCGAAAGCTTAATCTTTGACCAATATGAAAGTGGAAATGCCCGATTCGAAATCTCTTTCGAATTTCGCTATAACGCTAATATAATAATAATAATAACTTTATTTAAACTTAGAACAGCATGGTACAGTATTGACGTCAAAAGAAAAGGAAACAAATAATAATGTTCACATAAAGGAAATGCCAATTATAAATAATAAAATATAACTATTTCCGATGATTCATTTCTCGGTCATCCATTCAAAGTATTCTTGCACAGTATCAAGAGGAAATTCTTGACAGTGATTCGAAACTGTTTTACTTCCATGCTTCTTGTTTCCAATGGTAGTGCGTTATATAATTTGACGGTGATATGGAGTCACAATATTTTTTTTGTATTGGGTGTTGTGTTCGTGATTGTCTGCGTTTTTCAGCATCAAATCNTTGATGCAAGCTAGCAGCTGAAAAGTTCCGTTATGATCTTTGATTATATATAATATAAATATGGATTGAGCTAACTGAATATATCTACTAACAAAAATGTTGCTCAAGGTGAATAGACGCAGATGGAAAGCGATAATGTGAAAGTGTAACAAAGATAGATATATTATATGTCAGTACGCTTCTATATCTATCTCACTTCTATCAGTACACCCATTATATGGCAGTACGCTTCTATGTCTATCTCGGTTCGATCACCTTGCGCAAGCTATCTCTCTCGTTGGCTCAATCCATATTATATATAATCAAAGGTTATGATACATCAATATTTGACCTATGCGAAGTTAGCCCCCAATTAGATAGGATTTTACATGTATTTTGAAAGCTTAATCTTTGACCAATACGAAAGTGGAAATGCCCGATTCGAAATCTCTTTCGAATTTCGCTAAAATGCCAACATAATAATAATAATAACTTTATTTAAACAAAGAACAGCATGGTACAGTATTGACGTCAAAAGAAAAGGAAACAATTAATAATGTTCACATAAAGGAAATGCCAATTATAAATAATAAAATATAACAATTTCCGATGATTCATTTCTCGGTCATCCATTCAAAGTATTCTTACACAGTATAGTATTTATTCTCCAAGAGGAAATTCTTGACAGTGATTCGAAACTGTTTTACTTCCATGCTTCTTGTTTCCAATGGTAGTGCGTTATATAATTTGACGGTGATATGGAGTCACAATATTTTCTTTGTATTAGGTGTTGTGTTCGTGATTGTCTGCGTTTTTCAGCATCAAATCNACTCGTAAACGATTCACCCGATGATCAAGATCTATACGTCATTCGATTCGTCATAGTGTCTTCTATCGAAATCACAAAATGCCCGATTTCAATTCGCTCCCGTTAACCTTGTACAGCCCTCGGAATGACACCGTGTTCGGCTCGTTGTTTATGCACGTGTGAACGCCCGAATGTCTAGCCCCCAACATAAAACAATTAATTTAAACTAAATCGAAAATAATTAGAGAACGGTTTGACGGATTTTAATGTTTTATATCTCAATTAACAGTATGTGTCTGGCTGAATACGGTTATCGAAATGCCCGATTCGAAATATTTAAAACACAAAAAACGAATCAATCAAACACATCAAATATCTCCTTAACTAATTGACCAATTTTAGTCATCAACATCTCGATCAAAAGTATGATCTTCAATGAATACAAAGGTGGAAATGCCCGATTTCAAAATTTATTAATTACCTATGTACGGCTATTGAAATGACCCAGCGAATCTGCCGACTGGAAGTCTAGCCCCCAGTACGAAAAAATTAATTGTGATTTCATTCGCTATAACTAAAGAACGGTTTGACGGATTTTAATGTTTTATATCTCAAACGAAAGCTTGCACCTGGCTGAATAACTATGTCGAAATGCCCGATTCGAAATATTTAAGGATTTTGAATACAATACAAAAAATGAATTAATCAAATAAGTCAATTATCTCCTTTGTTAATTGACCAATTTTAGTCATCAACATCTCGATCGAAAGTATGATCTACAATGAATGCGAAGGCGGAAATGTCCGATTTCAAAATTTAGTACCTACCGACTGGAAGTCTAGCTCCCAACACGAAAAAATTAATTTTGATTAAATTCGCTATAACTAAAGAACGGTTTGACCGATTTTAATGTTATATATCTTAAATGAAAAGCTTGCGTCTGGCTGAATGTAGAAGTTATAAACATTAAATTAACAAGGCGTATACACGCATAACATTGTATTACATGAAACTGTAAGTGCATTTTTCTCGAAACATCCTTTTTACATCTGGTTAACACGATTCCTAAAAAACTACTCATTTATTGACTTGAAATTTGAACTGCACTTTCAAATAGCATCTTTCTATCGTATGACCTACAGAGAAACTGATACGATATATACATATGTTATTTTTTTTGCAATGAACTTATCGACTTGAAGAACAAAATCGATTATCTTAATTTGACCACTAATGTTCAAACGATAATCACAAGTATATAGAAAAGAACATCATTTGATTCTTAAGTTTCAGATCATTTCAACGATAGATATTATGTCAACCAGCAACTTAGACAAGATTATTTTTTATAAACAATTGTTTTTAAATAAGTAAATATATCAAATGCAAAAGATTAAATTGAAATACCACATAATTTGGCAGCGAAAAATTCCCAAAGAAATAATTTTATTTGATACAAAAAAGAGACTCCCCCATTAAAAACCTTGAATTAGATTATATTAGTATTATTTGGAGTGGTTTACACTAAATTTCAAATTATTTCATATTTTGACAATATTAATAATTAAAGTTTTATAATTTTTCAAGCACAAAATGCAAAAATGTATTGAATGGTACCGTTTTTCAAACACAAAT